GCGGAGGAGCGACGCTCACAACAGCGAGCGGAGCGCCGGGTGGCTAAAGCACAGCAGGTTGGCACAGTAGGGGGCACAGGTGGTGCATCAGCCAGTCATCTCAGTCAGTCGACCCGTGGCACCTGGGTCTGCCCCGTGACCTCCTGCCAGCGGGCGTTCGACACTTCACGTGGCCTCAGGGTGCACATAGCCTGGCACAAGCGTCGTGGTGACGTCACCGCCACTTAGTGGCGAATGGCGGTTGTTGTTGTTGTTGTTGTGTGGGGGAGCGGTAGTGTAGTGGTTAGCGTGCTGTTTGTGTGTGTGTCTGTGTGTGTGTGGGGGGAGTGGTAGTGTAGTGGTTAGCGTGCTGTCTGTGTTTGTGTGTGTGTGTTTGTGTGTCTGTGCGTGTGTGGGGGGAGCGGTAGTGTAGTGGTTAGCGCGCTGTTTGTGTGTGTGTGTCTGTGTGTGGGGGGAGCGGTAGTGTAGTGGTTAGCGCGCTGCGCTACGGACCCGGCGACCCGAGTTCGATTCCCGCTCACGGCCACCACCGGTGACGATTATTTGAACCGGTCCTGGGCCTCCCCTAGGTCGACTCGGCCTCAAACGAGTAACTGGTGTGGTGTGTGAACATTGCCACTGGGGAGATAAAGGCGGCCGGGCGTGGTGAATCCAAGTCCCGGGCGAACCCGGGTAGTAATCCTAGTTATATATACACGCACACAATTAGAGGCGCTCCATTTATATCTGTGTGTTTGTGTAAATGCTCATAACGAATGCCTATTTAGCTCAGTACAGCGCACGAATGGGTGGTGGGGTCAGAGCCACTTTTTTCCCTCGATGTTGTTTTACGCTGATATACCACATCAGACACACATTTTAGGGCTGAGTTTACCTAGTGGCATTCAATCGCAGAGCTCCTGAGAGATGGCAGCGGCGCAGGAAGGCCTTATTCTAGCAGTGGATGGAACTATGGATAATGGTGATGATCAAGCGAAGGCCCATAACAGATTTACATACCATTTTTTTCTTGCGTGCATGGGCTACAATTGAAGCTGTATTACTCGGATCATAATGGAGTAAGCTAACAGCTATTCCAGAATGTGTGTCATTACGTGTTTGCTAAGTATGTGTTAACCGCCACCTTGGACACCCTTGCAAACAATGTTCTGTCTCGAGGGATTATTCACGTGATATATTCTAGTAAATAAAATAAAAATTGTTCCTCTGTGTTTATCCACACAGCCCTCTCTCTCACACACACTCGCACCAATTAGCCATGCAGTTCTTGCAATACACCTGATAGCTACTCAGTATGGGTGGGAATATTGACTATCACCTGCGATGACAACACGTGCATTCCTACCGATACAACAACAGGGATTGCGCGCATGATATGATGAGTATACAGCCTTGACCCTTAGACATGTGGAGATGTGGGGAGGGGGTATTGAGAGGATCAGTTGTGGGCATTGAAGCACAGACAATAACACAAAAAAGGCGATCCAGCTGGAGAAATATTTTTAGAACGCTCACTTTGAGATCCTGATTTAATGGAGCACCATTACAACAATTAGGGAGGCATTCAGGAAGCAAAACTTCCTCCTGTGGTGGTTAGAGGTGGGCTGCAGGACACAATGACTAACACACACAAATACACAGTAGTAAAGAGTCGTCAGTCTTACTGGCCACTGGTTTAGCTCAACAATGTTTTATTTATCAAACAACATGCGTTTTAATGTGCGGCAATTAGGTGCAACGTTGAAGTTATTATTTTTAAATAGTTACTATTACCATACATCATATATATTTGTACATTTTCCCTTTTGCTTTGGGCCATAAAAGTGAACCTGATATTTTGACCGGTGGCATCTTTGTTTCACTGAGCAATGTTGTCATCATCCGTTGTTGTTACGTACGTATGTATGTTTGTATGCAAAACATCAAATTCGATGGTTTACAGGTATAAACTTTACCCGCATCAGGACGCCTCTAAGCACATCACATAGAATGCGCCCTGCACAATCAGGGATTTGGAAGCTCAGCGGGGTTGATGTTGGACAGTGCTTGTGAATGGGAAGCACCACACAGGAGCAGTAGGCATTGTGGGCAGTAGAGGGCAGTTCAGCGGAATCTATTATGGATTCTTTCGACCTCTTCCAATCACCTATGACCAGCGTGGTGAAGTATGGTCGTGTAATCATCACTGCCTCCTTCATGGCATGGGGGGAGGCCCCCATCGAGCAGTGGATTGACAAACTGTCTCTACATGTGTGTAATGTAGCTCTCAGAGACACCGTCTTGTCTTTCTGTATATATATAAAATTTGTGAATGTGTGACTGTTCAAAATGTTTAGCGTACTTCCCGATATGCAACAAACTTGAAATTTGCCATGTGGGTACTTTCCAGACTGTACACCATGCAAAAATTATAAAAAATAGACTTTTGTATTTTTTTTGGGGGGGTAAGGGCGCAATAATGCAAATATTTTGCAAGGCAAGTGAGCTGTGACGTCACATCTGTCATGTCACCCGCGCATGCGGAAGCGTCACGCAGTGTGCCTGCTGACGTCACGCATCCCCCCAAAACCCTCCGCGTAGGCCGTGCATCCCGCACAAATGCGCGGCAGAGCTGTCTCGATTTTCCAAGTCAACGCGACGATTGTCAGCTCGCCACGTCATTCCCTTCCCGAGTTGCCGAAATCGACCTTGCGTATAAGTGGGTTAAGGTTGAATTTCCTTGAGTGAAAAACATCCGATTTAGTTAAATTTATTTGTTTCGGCTTTTTTTCTTTCTTGCAAGCTTCAATGTGTTTTTTCAGGGTTCTTCAGTGAAATATAAGGGAATATGAAAGTAATCCTAAACAAGAATCCAAGTCTCGGGCGAAGCCGGGCAGTAAAGCTAGTTATGGAATAAAGTCCACTGACAACTCAACGAGCAACCACGAGTGACTCTGTACACTTGGGTAGTGAGACGACTCTATTCAGAGACAACGTAGTTTCTAAATTGCGATTTTAAGCTTTCGTGACTGCAAGGATTCATTTTCTTTGGTTCTTTCGGTAAAGTCACGTAGAATGAGAATAAAATAATAAATTAATAAAATGAAATAATAAAATTATCACGACGTTTCGGCCACAACACAAGTGAAGAAGGCCGCTTGTGTTGTGGCCGAAACGTCGTGAGAATTTTATTGTGTTATTTTATTTTATTAATTTATTATTTTATTCTCATTCTACGTGACTTTACCGAAAGAACCAAAGAAGACGTATTTCTAGTCTCAAGACAACTCGCAGACGATGGAGACGACCCGATGCAAGGCGACAAAGACGATGAGGACGACAGTGTCCCACACCAACAGCCCCCAGCTCCGGCTCGCGCTGCTTCTTATGCCTCGCCCGGTCCGGCCACGCCCCCATTCTCGAACTCTCCTCGCCGCACCTGCCCCTTGTCAATCACCGCCCTCATTACACTCGCCCGCCATTGGACCCCGTGCTCCCCCTCACGTGACCCTGTCAACGCTCGTCCCATCAATCATCAGTAGCACGTCCATGAGTAACTATGGTCCCGGGGAAACATACTGTCCCGCTATCGCCCCGCACTGTCTTTACACGTGTGCACACGAGGACAACACAATACACATTGTACATAGTGAATGTTTTCTTCTTGCTAAATATAACAACAGGTTTTAATTCGGAAATAAAATGTACTCCATAATAAAGGTTTAATAATTACATAGTAGATCGACAGTCCTTGGTTTGTTCAGCAGGATCAATTCGGATATCACTCGCCACTGATCTCTGCCACAGCTGCGGGATCAAACTTAGGCGGCTCGTTTACAAGCACATTGTGCGTGCTACTGCACCGCCACCCCACTCAGCGGAGCGTTTTTTACCTTTGCCGAGTGTGAACTTTTCTCGAGCTATTTTTCTTGGCCAAAATTGATGATGAGGAATTCAAAAGTGACCTCTTCTTCGCTCTGCGTGCAGCGTGAAGAAAGCGCGTTGCATAAGGCAATGCCGTCACCATGGAGTCAACATTGGGGGGGACCCAATCTTCCTGGGGGTCCCCCACCCAGAAAAAAATCATCTTAATTTGAAAACGAATTTCCTGCCATTTCCTGCGTAAAATATTACAAAATTCACTAACAGATAGGATGGACTTTTTATTTATTTTTTACAATAATGTCTAGTAGTGTATTGTATTACATTGCTCTGCTCTTTATTTTTTACATTTTCTTGTTTCATTGTATGTAATGGCAGAGATTAGGGATGAATAAAGTACAACCATAACCACGATCATATAAACAGAAATCTATTTTGATAGCAATATATTGGGGGGGGGGGGACATTTTGAGCATATTTGAATATTGGGGGGGGGATGTGTGTCCCCCAATATATATTATAATTACGGCCTTGGTATAAGGGGACAGCCGCACGCCTTTGCAGGCGTGCCCTACTCGTGTTCACGCATAGCTCGGCACGCCCTCGTGGCCTCTTAATAGCTGTCGGAGGGGGCCCGTTGGCTGGTGGCGGGCATTCTGGCGAAAGGAAGAAAGAAAAAAGAAAATAACCCCACGTGCAGTCGTGCGGTCAAACTGTGGCGTTGATGTGAGCAAGGGGGGCTCCCACACACTGCCCAACAATTTCTTGTTTCCTGTAAGGAAAGCAAATTATGTACCGCGCATTCGCGACCAGCCACACTGAGGAATAGTGCGTGCATCCCTCGCTCACAGCACCTCCGATTAGCGTGGTTGGCTACGTATGGTGCAAAAGAAGTTCACCGTACATGCATACAACATCATCGTCGCCAGTGGTTGCAAGCGGTCATTTGCCTCGTGTGTATTGTGTGCACGTGGCTGTGTCCATGAGCACTCGTGTGTGAGTGTGTATGTATGTGTTGCGTGTCTTTGTGTGGCTGTACACATGCTTGTGTGCGCGCGTGTCAATGTGTGTGTGCGCGCTTGTTTCATCTCGCGACTGTTGTTGAATTGTCGCGTTTGATTCCCATTGTGAAACGACAGACGATCGAGCGGGCTGGACGTGGCAGGCCGAGCAGAGGGGAGCGCCTGGCAGGATGTCTTCATGCTCCTCCGCCAGCGGAACTCTCTCGTAACGCCGCAAGGGGCAGCGGCAGCAGCAGCAGCGGCGGCGGCGGGGGTCTCACCCCAGGCCAACACCATGGCAGCATCTACTCCGTGAGTGTCTCGTGTGTACTCCCGGGCTTTTGTTGAGCGGGCCTCTGAATATACATGACCTGTCTTGCGGATCACACTCCACCAGACATGTCCGCCTGTAGGAATAACGCAACTTCTTGAAACGACCGCACCGTAAGGAAAATTGCACGGCCATACATGGTTCAATGTTGGTGCATGCGTGTGTCCTAATATACCTCTCAATCGTGATGTGGGTGTCGAGGTGGCAAGTTGTTAACTCCCTCGCCTGGCGCACAAGAGGTTGTGGGTTCATATGACACCATCCGAGATGTGGATCTTGCGTATGTGGCCCGCCCTGAATTTCTAGAAAATGAAATCACTGGACTGGGACGCGCACGCGTGATCAATGAGCTTCCTCTCCACTTCCTCTACAGCGGCACGCTAACAACCTTGGCACTTTAGGTGCAATGGGATTGATCGCGTCAGTTGGGTTTCCATGACTCGATCCCATTGACGTGTGCACGTCCTGCGGTGCCCTGTTGGAGGAGGAAAGTGTCCGAGGTATGGCAGTGTATTTCTGTAAAAACTTCTTGAGCTGCTCTGGTCGGGATATCTGGCATGGAAGTGATTTATCAGCCTCGTGCGACTGGTCTGCAAAAGCCAATAGAGAGAAAAGGTGCCGTGTTGTATTCGGATTTAGACGGCCCGTGTGAATCTCTATGTCCTGTAATTATATTTCGGAGCAATGTAAATAAGAAGCATCTGTTTGGAAAGATTTGGAAAGATTTTGCACAAACAATGTTGAAGAAGAGAAATACCAAATTGAAATAATTCCCTTTAACTAATTGCTCCTATACCACTCAACAAAACAAATAACTGTTAAAATTTAGCCTTCAAGTTGAAACTGTAGCAATTATTCACGTAAATCATATACTTAACTAAAATATATAAACCCATTTCCAATGTAACATTTTTCAAAGGTTTTGCTTTCACCAAAAATATCATTTCTTTTTTATCACAATAAATCTGCAAGCATAATAACCTGTCAGCAGAGAGTTCACTTAATTTAACAATAAAGTGTTGATGCATGAGTGGTATTTGCATTCAATTCGCTCTGGTTACGACTTGTCGACAACATTTTTTCAAGATGGATAAGTAAATGTTTAGGGCCATAAAGGTGGAATTTGCAGCAAATAGTGTAAGGGATTTAATCAAGGCCCATGCTTCGTCCTGCTTGGCTCCATGTGGACGTATACTCACTTGTGAGATTGCTCTGCCAATCTTCGTCCCCACTTCTTTCCTACCGAACCCAAGGGGATCTTGACAGCTTTTGGGGGAACTGTTCGTGGTCGGATTGGCAGCACTCGTATTTGTTGTCATGAATGTGGTCGTTCTCGAATGTTCACAGCTGAAAGGTGTTGGGGTGCACATGGCTATCCCTGCATGTCCTGCCGATGCTTATGACTGTACTTACGAAGGATGTATTGTTTTGTATTGCAGTGTCATTGCTGGTTATGATTAGACAAACCTTTGAACCTTAGACGTAAGAGCGCCTTCGGATGCACAGATATATACCCCGTACATATTTTAGCCGTTGTGCTTGTAAATATCGTCACATGCTTCCCATCGTGTTCCTTGGTTTACGAATGTATGCCGAATAAATATTTTACACTTACATAGGTGAGGTCCATGCTAGTGGTAAATTGATGAGGAGCAAGTTAAGAATCTAATCACTCCTTGCCAATCAATACAACCCGGGCATGTTGTGGTCTCTATCTGCCCCTCTCTTATGCAGACAGCTCCATGGATGAAGCTCCTCTCCCATCAAATTCCACTCCTCCCCCTTTGCCTCACAACACTACACTGTGTACCAGGGCTCTCGAGCCATTCCTAGGGAAAGATTAACACACATCGTTCGATGACACTGCTGCGTTGGCAGTGGTATGGAAGCACGGATAGCAAAGGACTTGAACACATTCGTCAGTAACACTGCCTTGAAGGGAAAAATAATACATGACGGGTGACATTTTCGGAAATGTTTTTTTTTTCATAGCATAGCACATGAAATACATTTATGAAGAAGGGCTATTGCCTGAAACGTCAGCTCTTGGAAATATTTGTTTTTATTGGTGAAAGTGAGAGGCTTTCTTGTTTTTACTATTTATGGAAAGATAGTTGTGGTGATTTTCCACTGCAAGCTATCGATTTTGGTCACATTTGGACAGGAGATTTAAAAATCATCATCATCATCATAATTATCATCGGTTACAATCAGTCCACTGCTGGATGAAAGCCTCCCCCAAACCATTGCCAACTCCCACAGTATTGTGATGTAACGATTCCCGCAGCAGCTGCATGCGAGGGATGATTCCATCACTCCGTCTCTGGCTGAACGGCTACTTTGATGCGTTCCGTATTTCTTCGTGGCCACTCTGTCAGAATCAGAATCTTTATTTAACCTGGAGAAATTCGTTGAGCTGTGAAGCTCTTGTTCTTCAGATTCTCCAATAGGGGTGGGTCAGAATGCTGCATCATTCTTGTGCACCACCCATCGTCCGTTTTAGCGACATGCCCTTCCCAAGCCCGCTTAATGTGTGTACACCCTCTCATTCATTCATTCGTTAAATTTCCCTCCCTCTTGCCGCTGCCTGCACATGATTTAATAATAAGACGTATAAATAGATGCCGGACAACAGAATCTCCCACAGTGCGGTTTGATGGCATTGGACTTGGCTTTGTAGGATGGCACTGAAGTCCATTGTGAGAATATTGTAGCGGCCTGCTGAAGTGCCGGCCTCGGGGGAACGAGACTATTTTCAAGGGACACATGGTGGGAGATGGTGGGAGAGGGCGATCGCGAGAGAGAGAGAGAGAAGGAGAGAGTTCCATTTCACAGACTTCCTCTCGCCTGCGCCACTTCATAGCTGAACACAGAAACACTTTCAATCGTCCGTTACCGCGAGTGTTTCTCCCACAACGAGCTCCACAAAGAGAAAAACAAACCCACACACACGTGTGGTAGAATGTTCACTTGTATCATAATTAATGTACTGCTCATTGAAGGACTGCTCTGTATGCGAGCAGATTGATAACCTGAACGTGTAAATCTATATGCCTTATGCTTGTAGGTATGTAGAATGTGTACGTGCAATTACGCAAGAATGAAAGTGTATATATTTACTGGTGTTCATTGCCAGTAGAATAAATGTGTTTGTTCACATAGTTTTTCAATATATCAATAGCTTTGTCATTAACGCACAAGAAGCTGTATGCACTTTATTATGAATCGGCCATTTAAATATTTGTACTTTTTGAATCGCTTTATCGAGTGGCATTTTTACGCTTTGTGGTGAACTCATTTCGGTTGATAATTACAAGTTGCACTCATGCAGAGAAAAATGGACATTTAACATGCGGTTGCAATGTTCCTCATTGAGTATACGCGTTGCATTAATTTACCCTGACGAACTGTACATGGTCAAGAATAGCGATGGAGTCGTGGCCAAGGAATGGAACGCATTTGAGAGGACGTCGAGCGGAGAGACAGAATGATGACAACGGATTATGCGCAGGCGCTAAGTGGACCGTGACATCGCATTGGGGTAGCGGTAGTGTAGCGGTTGGCGCTACGCTGCACTACGAACCCGACCACCCGAGTTCGATTCCCGCTCACGCCCAACACTGGTGACGAATATCCGAAACTGGGCCTGGGCCTCCCCGAGGTCGACTCAGCCTAAAAATGAGTACCTGGTGCCATGTGTAAAACATCGCCTCTGGGGAGACAAAGGTGGCCGGGCATGGTGCTGGCCACCCCACCCCCTCGTGTGCCGTGCCGGCCTTCATTCATAGGTGCTACTCGCCAACAGCACTTGCCCCAACAGTCTGTTAGGGCTAAAGAGGGGATCTTTGTGTTTGTCTTGTTACATCGCTGAGCCCACAAGAGATGGTGATGACTGGGGGTGGGTGGTAGGTGGGCATCATCCAACAGAATGATCATGGCTGATTTTGGTGGTGATGATGATGATGATGCTACTTTATACTGTTCGATTGACTTGGAACATCAGCCCAGACGGACCATGCTGGCTGATACCACGGCATGTGTTTATTTAGTATGAGATGCCTGATACAATGATCAAGAATGAATCCAGGAATGAATCCGAATCTTTGTCTCTTCTCTCCACCCTCGCCTCAGTCGATCGGAAGTTTCCTTTGGCAATGGTCCTCGGTGAGGTTAACAGCACTGTTTGGGTATGCTGCCATAGAAAAAGGTCAAATTGTTAATTAATAATTACGGGTAGAGCAGAACGTTAAGAGGGCAGAAGGACGAGAAGGTTGTGTAATTAATCAGTTACCGAGTTTCAACCGGAAGTACGCACACAGAAGCGTTCTTTGTAAAAAAACAAATCAATCTGCCCACAGCTTTCAAGACACAAAGCGAGATGAATTTGAAGGTCCCGGTGTCGTCTTTTAACTTCATTTGTTCCCATTTCACATTTAGAAGTGGGAGCATAATGTCGAAACAATCCCTTGTGTGTGTTTGTTTGGCAAATGGCAGCACACAAGTGCTTGTGTAGAACACAACTTCGGCTGTGTCACTCATGATAGTTGTTTTGTACATGCTGAGCTCCAGGTCAATGCAACCTGTCCTTTGCATCATTTTCTTCGTAACCGTTATTTTTTTTTGTTATTTCAATTGAGGCGTCATGTGGCCTTTCTCAGTCCATTGCCGCCTTAAAATAATAATAATACATTTTCTCGTCAAAGAAGAGTTACCTTGTGCCCGCGTAAGAGAGCGCTATGGTTTGGATTGTCGCGGTTTTCATCAATGTGCCCTGGCCACCTTGATTTATTATCACACGCTGCCGGTTGGAGTCTGAAAAGTTGCGCGTCGGCATTAGTCAGCCAATGTCCCCCTAAATGCTGCACTGCTGTTGCGTTTGTGTGGCAAGAGATTTGCGCCGTGCCTTGAGGCTGTTTTTGAGAAGTTAGTTTATGCACGCAAACACTGCGGGGACAAGTGCTGCTCGCGAGCGACTAATGAA